TTTTGAGTGCTTTGTGTGCTTTGTGCGAATGGGATTTGCCTATGAAAGAAGTTTCGGTTCAAACGTAATGTGATATGCCAACAGAATGAAACCACCGCCTCAAAGGATGATTGTTGACATTCAATCAGGGCATTAGGTCGGGGGCTGAAAGGACTCTTTTGTATCAATGTAGAACAATTTCGCTTTTGTTCAAACACAAAAAAATTGATGTTTCGTTTGTAATTGATACCGTCAAAGAAAAATGCTTTAAAGAGAACAATTTTTGTCTACACCTACACACTCGAATGGAAATCTGGTATTAGCGTTGGCATGTGTGATAACTGATAAGAACTTTCACTTGTATTTATTTTCTCACAACCAACGTAATTTGTTTACATTTGATTGGCTTAGTTTTCAATAACCTGCTACTTCATGACCTGAATCCATGTGATAAAACTTTTGAGACAGTGTTTTGCTGAGAAGAATGCGAAAAGATTAACCATAATGTAATTGTTGTCAGGTTATAAACTAAGTGCTGTAACCATGCATCAAAATACATCATCCAATTTCTTCAGATATGGATGCTGGCAAGGGAGACAGAAAGAGTGTGGTAGAGAGAGAGGAAGAGAGATGGATAAATAGAGAGAGAGAGAGAGAGAGTCGGAGATACGGAAAAAGGATGCAATAAAACTCATGAAAAGATAACTCTCAATAGCACCACTCGCTAAGTTATTAATTAATTTATGCAAAGTCAAGAGCCAAGTGCAAAATGAGTGACACACATAGTAGGGTTTTTAGAGCTAATATGTCATCACGTCGATTTGTGTATGTGATTATGCAAAGTGGCAAGCCACAACTAGAACAAAAACTCTGTCATCATCAGACTGAAAAAGGCACATCCCAATTGAGCTTAAACACAAGGCACAACAAAGTTGTGTGTGTGTGACAAAAAGAGCGAATACAAACGCTTTTCATTCCAACCAGATATTGTTGCTGCTCTCGAAGGCATCATTAATATTTTGATGCAAAAAATTGTGAAGTCGACTTTCAGTTGAGCATTTCGTGTTAATCCGATGGTGAATTATGTCCACCAAAAAACGCCAGCCAGCAAGCATATCAAATAAATCCCCGATTAAATACACCATTGAAAGAGAAAAAAAAACTTTTTCCATTCCATTTTCATCGCGATTTCAATTCGATCTATGTTCGTATTATGTTTCAATGTGAAAAAAGCCTTCGACACGTTTGACAATGTTGCAGCAGTATCAAAGTTGCAGCGAAAAAAAAGTGTTTGAAATGTTTGATGTCATATTATATGTCAAATGGGATTGCTGCCTATGACTGCAAAAAGCGAATGAATAAAAGCAACAATTGGTAATAAAATACAATGTTTCACAGCAAACAGAATTGACATTGTCTCGTTGAACAAAAACCTTCATCAAAGCGGACAGAAAAACAACAACAAGAGAGTTATCTTGTTAAGAGCCCGCGCGTAGGAAGGCAAATAGTATTAGGCAGACATTAAGTAAACATGGTGTCAAACAAAATCTCAATTATCTACACATATATCCCATATGAAATCCCACTTCCTCTCTCTATCTCACAAATCTCAGGCGATGTTTGCAATGTAGACTGTTTAATAACAGCATAGAAAACGTTCAATTTTAAATGTGATGTGGCATAAAACCTAAAGATCCCGTTCACAAGAATTAGAGCATGGCATTAGATGTGCAACCGGCTGAATGATATAAAACTTCATATCAATCCTTGTTTACAACATTGTTGTGAGCCATCAAACGAAAGGAGAAGAAAAAATACGGAAGCAAAGGATGATGTGGTTGCTCACTGCTCACTGTGATAGTAAATAACGACAAAAATGAAACAGACTGAACTCCAAACGCGCAGTCAATAAATCAAAGGAATGAAAAAGAGTCAGGAAGAGAGAAAAAAAGCACCACCGTATGAATAATACATGTGAGCCAGCGGTGAAATCGGTGTGTATAACAACATAAACAAACATATTCGAGTTCTGTTTTAACAAATAATCGTAAAGCAAACGCCCTCAACACACCACAAACACAAGCAAAGACAGGGAAAAAAATGAGCACATATTCAGCATGCTCAATAAAAAGAAATCAAAGTATCTCAAAAACTTGCGAGTTATTGTGTTGTGCGAACATTTCAAATTATCGAGTGAATGATTTTTTGCACAGTTGAAAATGGCACAAGCATCTGTGCTTCATACACTCTTTTCTCTGGTTTTATTCGCATTTTTATTAAAATCGAGATAACACCGCATGAAATAGTTGTTTAAAGTAAAAAAGCGAAGAACAGGGGACCAAATGATAGAGGCAACCTCTCGAATTACGGAGAGATAAAGCTCTAAAATCTAGAATCAACGTTGCGATAAAAAGGGAACATAACGAAGTCATGAAATGCTGGAAACTGTTGAAAAAAAAACAATGTGCCATGCAGCAAAAGAGTGGTGCATTTGTTTTATGTGCGAAAATGATTAAGTGCAACGAGAATCAATGTGAAAATGGGGCAAACATATTATTACGTGTGGTCAAGTTTATAAAACCACCCAGGCTGATCGGATATATGTAAAATTGCGGTTTGCTCCTTTGCGGTGGCAAAATTAAAATGGAATCATTTGCTTTTCTTTTCTTTTCTTCTCTTTAATATCATGGGGCCGGATGAAATATTCCATAGTGCAAACATAAAAAAACACGTACAAATAACAACAACAAATTTAAGTATGTAATTTGCATCAAGCAAACGACCAGCGTTACCCGTTACACGTGGCTAAGGTGATTTATTACGCACATAAAATGGAAAATAAGTCGTAATAACAATAATAATAACGGTGTTGTAATTACAAAGTAAATTGCGGTTGTTTTCAGAGGGAAAAACCTGCACATGCATCGTCCGACATCGGCAAAACTCAATTTAAAGGTGAAATTGGCTTAGCGCCATACAGAAAATGAACGCCGTTGTAGTGGCCTGCACCTGTTATCGGTGCTGCTGCTGCTGAATGGCAGACAGTCGATGCGATTTCCGACGAAATATAATCAATGGTTTTAAAGCGATTTTGTGTGTGCCGTTAAGGAGCTAAGCGCATGTACCCAACACACACCGTAGGTAGAAGTGCCGAAAAACGTCGATTTGCAAATGGATTTTATAATTATATTAGAAAAAGCCGTCAATTTCGGTGCTGCGTTCCGCTTAATCCACTGTAACACATTTTCTACAAATGTGCGAAGAAAAAAAAGCACTTGGTGTAATTCTTTGGCTGTGCCGTGAAAATGATGCAAGAGCATCATTTTTTTGGGTGTGAGCACGTTATTTTAACATTTGCTTCAAATGATTTTTAATTGCCGACATGCGTGTTTGTGTGTGTGTTACTCAAAAATTCATCAAATTTTCACCACAAAAACGACCGAAGGTCCTGCATCTAAGCGTCTGACAGCTTACTTCTAGCGCTACAAGACAAGTGTCGAAATTTGTGACTCAGATCGTTCTATGTTTACCGCAAACTATTGAATCTTTTTTATATTTGTTAATAAAGTAGACAACAAAAAATAAAAATGTCACGAATGTGCAAAATTTGTTTTTTGTGAGTGCGTAGCACGTGATAAACATTAATTTTATAAAAAATAAATGTTTTTTTCATTACGACACATTGTTGATGCGTTCAATTTGTCGCGTTCATAAGTGCGTCTAACGACGTAAACGAATTGAAATGAACTTCACTGAATGCGCTCATCGTAAATTCGTGTTTCACTTTGTTTTGTTAGTGTTATGCAGAGCCTGTGAAAACGACTTACACACTCAAAACCAAATGAAAAAGAAACACACACACAAATTTAGATGAATGTACTTGTTTTCACTTTTTTGTGTATTTAAATCATTATGTCTGGATTATGTGATTCCACAGAAGACGATGAAATCGTTCATGCGTGCAACATTTTGCACATTTATCGCGGTTTTCAAACGCTCATGTATGCGTTGTAATCACGGTTTTAATTATTTTCAAATGAAACATGCTCCAAATTGCAGCTGAAAGTTACATAAATTCGAGACAAATGTGCCTTTTTCTTCTATCTTGGATTCACAGAAGTCATTTCATTTGAATTAAAGAAAATACACGATTCACTCGGTGAAAACCTTCTTTTATGGATTGCAAAAGATGTTGCAAATTCACGATCTCCAATTCAGTGAATAAATTCACGATGTTCGGACGAGAACGCAAGCAATTTTGGGATCTGTTACATAATATTCATGAAGATAATTACACAGCAACCACAAAAATATTTTTGTTTTCATCAAACGTACTCGATTTTCCACCATTTTCTCCAATCCATTGAACAAATGATTCGAAAATACCCCACAAAAATAATTATTTTCAACATAAATGTAATCAATTTAACGCCGAGTTGACACATTTAATTAAAATATATGTGTTTACGGGAACAAATCACACAATCGATCAATTACAGAATTCATTGACAATTTTAAATTGATTTCACGTCAATTGGGCTTAAAAATAGCAACTGAATTGGATTTTCGCACCGCAAAAATCGATATAGCATCACAATTGATGATGAATTTACGGCCACATTCACTACGTGCTATAAAAAAGCGTGTAAATTTATTTTTATGCATTTCACTTGAATCATAGCATTGAACTTTAGTTCATCAATAAAAGCCCAGTACATCAAACGGGAATCGGGGAAATGGTGTTCATGTCCTAAAATAATGCCAAAATGGCCATAAATTCTTTAAATAGAGCGAATTCAAAGAACGAAACCACTATTTTAAGAAACAGATATATCTGTTTAGTTTTGCAGAAAAGGCAGTTTAATTGCGAAAATATCCAGGTTTACTATCATTAGAAACAACTGAAAGAAAGCAACATCAAAGGTGATGCTAGGAAAAAATTGCACTAATTCCAATTCTAAATATAAATGCCGATTTCAATTTTAGCATCTAATAAAAATGTAGCAATAAAGATAAATTACCTTACTTTGGAAGGAATTTAGCTCCAATTTCTTGATGGTTGCGTCATTAGAAAGGTCCGCTTCAAAAGGAAGTAATTCAATCGTTATGAATTGAAATTGTCTATTCAGCAAAATATCAAATTGCACACTATCTTGATCTCAAATTGAGTTCATGTTTTCATAGTCATTCAACACTTTTTATTATTTTTTCGAGGGGGGCAGAGAATGAAAGAAAGCTGTAAAAACGGTAAATTGAGCACATCTTTTAGTAAAAGGCAAACATTTCAACTGTGCAAACACCACAATCAACCAAATCACTTACGAATCATCAAATGCAAACAAATCAACAAATATAGCAGAAAATCTCCGTCGCAATTCATTCATTAAGCGATATTTTGGGATTGACAGTAAGCGGTGCGCAAATATTGCGTGCCATTGATTGAGATGCCCAGCTTGCACATTAGGCAAGAAGCATTGATGTTATAGCTGGAGGCTATTATCCACATTGTTTGTGTGCCAAAACACACGAACACATCAATTTCGCTGCGAGCCATGAAATCCGAGCAATTGTGAAATTTCTACCCAAACGAATTTTAATGTCAAACGGTGTGTTTGTGATCGAATTGTGGTTTTTGTTTCGGGAATATATAACCAATTTTATTATTGCGTTTCATTTTGCATTTAATCAAGTAAATTTATTTTGGTTTACATTTCGCTTCATTTTATAGGCATAGATCGAAAATATGAGCGGGATTTTTTTCTCAGTTCGTTATTTTATTTTTTTTAGTTGTATCCTTCGAGACTCATTTTTATGGCCGAAACGAGAAAGAAAACATATTGTAATGTCGTGTCGCGTATTTTTCCTTTTTTTCTCCGTTTTGTTTGTCTATTTTATGAAGAGTAATCAGTAGGTCTTTCTCATTTATTTTGGTCCACACTCATACCACTGACTATTTTTAGGCCTCTATTCAACAACTCTCATGGACCACACGTATATTGTTTTGACTGTACTCAAGTAACGGTTTTGACAGCGAAAATTCCGTCGCTGTTCATTGTTTGCTTGCATATTTCACCATTTTTTTCACCTTCAATTCAAATATTCTGGATACATGCTGCTTTCAACGCTTTATTTATCTATTCGATCATAAATTAATTTTTCAACACTTTTCCACCATCACTTTGCTCAATTCACGGACAAACAAATGGAATAAAAATACACACGCAGGAATCGTTTCGTTCCTCAAATCGTAGGCAATGAGGTGGAAAATTCATGCGGTTCCTCATGCAAATCATCATTCGCAAACAATTGGCTGTTATGTAAATATGTCCGGTTTTTTTTTGAACGCAACAACAAACCAGACCAAATATTTCGAATCTAGAAAAAAAGCATCGCTCGATATTTGATTGGATTTTCTTATTTTCGTTACATTAAACATCGCCCAAACGTTTTGGATAATATCGAAATTCCATGTCTGAGTTCACAAACTAAAATAACATCAACAAAGAAATAATCTATATTTTTCTATTGAAATCCGATCTTTTTTTTTCAAACCTTCGCACAAAGCTTTAATGCAAATAGAAGACAGTGGAAGATCTTAACAGCGATTTGCTTTACGTATGTGCAAATAGAAACTGCTTTGTGCTCCAATTTACATGGTAATGCAAAGCAAACATTTTCAAAACGTCTTTATCAACTGTTTGTTCTAGTTAATCTTCGTTCCGACGAAAGAATCCGGGGGATTTTTTCTGTGGTTTTTTCGTATAGTTCAAGCTTTTATTCTAGGTTAAATATTTTTATGGATTGTGATAAAATCGAACGAAGCGAACAAAAATTATTCCAAAAACTTCTATTGACAAAAATTCGGAAAAAAAAACTCGCAAAAAATATATGCCATCAAGAACCACATTTCAATCGATTCTCCGAAAGTTTTTCTACGTTCATTCCGAAAATATTTAGAATTGATGAGAAAAAAATGTGAGGAATGTGTGTTGATCAAAGAGGAAATGTCTTAAATCCCATTTTGATGATGGATTATTTTTAGTATCAATAAAACGGATTCATGAGGTGAAAAATAGGAATTTAACGTTTTTTACAAATGACCATTCCAATCAATCAATGGAATTGTTTTTTTTTTCGTATTTCACTCAGCAATGCCGACACGATCACAAACGAGCGATTTGAAAGAAACAAAGATTTCATGGCGTTTAAAACAAGATTTTCTGCTACTTATTTATGTTTGCTCTGATTGTCGTCGAGCGAGTGATGACTGGTCACGATGCGCGAACTTAATTGATGCGAATCGTTTCATCAATTAACGAAAAATCTTTTCTATAATTGCGGTTCGACGATTAAAAGAAAAAAATAAAGTCACATACGAGATGTTTCGCCGGTTTTTTTGGCTAACTGAAAATATGAATGTGCCAAGAAGATATCGTTATCGTTTGGAACAATTTAAACGTGGCATATGCCAGGCAAAGATTCTGTTTTCGTACACAAAATGTTCAACTTCAATGTCAAAAGTCAACTGATTCACTGACCAGAAAAACAATCGCCGAATTCAAATGTTGTATCGCACGAGCACGAAAGAAATATTCAAGTAAACCATCCCGTTGAAGCGTTCGTTGTTGACTGTTTTACGTTTCAGTAGCGTTGAACTACTTGAATGAAATTCGCGGCATGTTTCCACTTCTGAGTCAACGTGTTCGATAATGTAAACTGATATGCGCCATCTCGTTCCGACCGAAGACAGTCTATGTACAAGCATCATCCGGCTGTATTGCTCGTTTAATGGCACATGCACAAGCATGTGTATCTATTTGTGGTCGGTAATACAGTCACAATGTGTTGGTGTGTATGGGAAAAGGAGAGACGCTTGTTTACATTTAACCGTTCGTAGACAGTAAGGCACACATTGCCATTGTCGCCGTCGTCGCCGCCGTCGAACAGCTGATTTCGATTTTTTCCCCATTCGTCTGTATCATCAACAACAAACACTTGTCGCACTCTTCGTCTGTTTACGGTATTCGTCGCATGCATACTTTCACACAAACACTCACTGATAACCGACATCATATCGCAACGCGCTGCGAGCTTCATTGCCTCACTTTGATTCTCGGCCAGTGTCACACACATAAATGCACATAAATTTAAGCTTCGAGCGAAGAAGCAGTGTGTCATTCATACGCAATGCTCTTTTTTATCTTGACTTTTGTTGTGATCACACTTATTCTCGTATCGTCTAGATTGAATTCGATAAGAAAACCGGACGCATTTAAGTGTAGCAGCTTAAGCAACCACTTTCTTGAGCATGGGGTTTACCGGTGAACATGGTGCTATATCAATTTTGCTTTTTTGCGATATCTGAAAGTCAATTAATCAAATTATATTTGATGTGAGCAAACAGGGCTGCTTGCCAAATAGTTCAGCTCATTTTTTTCAACGATTTTGATGCTTGATTCTCGACGTTTGTTGTTGCTGTTGATAATAATTGAAAATAATAAATAAATGGACACATTTTTTCGTTAAATTTATGAGTTTATTTTCGAATTTAGTGAGATTTACTAGAGGCTCAATTTGATTTTTTTTAAAACATCTTTACTCTGTTTTTCAATTGAAAAACCATCGTGACAAATACCACAAATGACCGCAAACAGTTATTCTATTTTTTTCTATTGTACCTCAGTCTGACTCAGTGTGCCGACTTACAGCACTTCTATACAAATGAAATTATTGTTCAGTCGTGAAAAATCACTTCGAATGCAATGAATAAACATTCACGAATGAGTCACATTTCAACAATAAGAAATGTTCGCGTGTGTCAGTACGAGTACAGCCCTGTACCTCAGTAAGTGTGGATTATTCTGTGTATTGATAACGAGACAGTGGGAATGTATGGCAAAGGTCAGAACCAGTTTTTATTTCTTTTCAAAGTGAATTTAATCAGCTGAAGCATGGAATCAGTATTGAGTGTGTTATTAGATCTCAGAGCGTTGCAAGCCACACGCTGCACCAGATGTACGTTCTGTGTTCATCACTGAAAAAATAATTATGAAAAAAGTGTTTGTCGTGTATTTTCAAAGAAGTGACAATTTAAGTGATCGTTCAATAAACGTATGAAAAGTGTGTTAAAACCCATAGTTGAGAGAGAGAAAAAAATGTGAGACAAATAAAATGCTTTCCCCATCAATCAATCGAGTTAGTTTCAAATGGTTTTTTTTTATTGAATAAAACGAAAAATATTCGTATTCTATTTCAGGACGTCAAAAAAGTTTAGTTTCTCTTGTCGTTGGCATAAAAATGATGGTTCGTATACAGTGAGCTATTTGAGTTTGGTAGGTTCGGCCCGATGTGAATTGCAAATTGATTGACATTAATTTTGTATTGATTTCGTTCTGTCTCACTCTCTCTCTCTGTTTCGCATGTTTGTGTATAGTATCGATATGCAACTCGTTGGGATGTATTCGTTATAGTTCTTGGCATCATTTTTACATTTTTCAAAGCCTTAGCACTGCCCTGGATAATTATTGTGTACGGCGAATTTACATCACTGCTGGTTGAACGAATTTATGGCATTGGAACAAGTTCACCGACGTTGATGCTACAGTGGTTCGGGGGCGGACGTATATTGTAATGTGTCAAATACATCATTCTGTGGCCAGAATTCGATTGAAAGTAATAATTGAACTTCTTGTGTTTGTATAGAGCGAATGCGACCATCGAAGAGAATCGACAAGAAATCATCAATGATTCGATTGCATATGGAATTCTATCGTTAATTGCAACATTATGGCAGTTTATCAATGGAATATTCTGCGTTGATTGCTTTAATCGGACGGCTATACGGCAAGTTACGCGCATTCGCGTTAAATATTTCGAGTCATTGATGCGACAGGAGGTCGCATGGTATGATGAGTTCGGGGGAAAGACTAATTTTACCGTTCGCATCACCGAGTAAGCTTACTTATACTGATTTATGCCTGTGCATGCGTGGGTGCGTGTGTTCGGATAAATCAGTGCCAATGAACTTAATCAACTGGAAATCACTCGATAAATATGTTATAATGTCATTTCAGAGATATTGAAAAGATTAAATCTGGTCTTGCGGAAGATGTGAGCCACTTCTTGTTTTTGGTATTTTCATTTGGGATATGTGTAACCATTTCATTTGTTTATGGATGGCAGTTGACACTTATCGTCATTTCGTACCTTCCAATTGTTTTCCTCGTCAACATCATCGTCGGTAAGGTAAATTTCTAAATGAATCGAGTTAATAAAAACCTTTCTCAATCATA